ATTTACAATTACAAATGGGCCCCAAATTAACCTGGATGTAAGCTACACTAAAAAACAATTTTTAAAGCACAAGACACAAAATTCCTTAGATTACTTATACACAGTACATTGTCTTGGAAATTACATACTGAGCTGGTATTACACACACTAAGTGCAGCTTATTATGCACTCGGATCTCTCAAATGCTACATGTCTCAGGAAGTAACGAAAATTATTTACTATGCCTACTTGCACTTGGCTATGTCATATGGAATAATATTCTGGGGAAACTCTACAGATAGCGCTAAAATCTTGAAAATGCAGGAGGGCAATTAGAATTATCACAGGAAGCAAGAACAGAGATTCTTGCACAGATTTACTTAAAAACTTAAAAATATTACCTTTTCAATCACAAAACATACTCTCACTTCTATTATTTGTGGTGTACAATTAGAGAATGTACGAGTACAATTTAAATTCTGACATCCATAACATAAATATGAAGCAAAGATTCAATTTCCACCAACATTCAGCAAATCTACGAGTATCTCTGTATCGAAAGGGAGTACACTTCTTCTGCATCAAAGTGTTCAATAGCCTACCACAAAGTCTCTAAAAAGCAACTAGTAATATTAAGTAATTTAAAACAGCATTCAAATATTACTTACTTATTCACTCATTCTACTCCATAGATAAATATTTCAATGCAAACAAACAGTAACTAGTATCAGTTCTAAGCTAAAGTGTGTTCCCAAGCATGTTACTGTTATCATTTTGCTTATTTGCAGACTGTGCTGTATGCATCCAATTAGCATGGCAATATTAATACTGTATTATAATCTTTTTAATTTTCAAGCAAAACTACTATTGTACAGATATTTGTATTTGACTTGTTCCATATCCTATGGTGTCAACATGTACTTGGATTTATGGAATGTAAATAAATTCAAATTCAAATTCAGATCTTTTGCATTGGTCAGATACTGGAGAAAAAATGGGAGTATAATGAGACAGCACATCAGCTACTCGTAGACTTCAAGAAAGCCTACGATTCAGATATGAGGGAAGTATTGTACAATATTCTCACAGAGTTTGGGGTACCCATGAAACTATTAGGCTGATTAAAAATGTGTTTAAACAAAACGTACAGTAAAGTCCATATAGGTAAACACATTTCTGACAATTTTCCTATTCAGAATGGTCTGCTTTTCAACTTTACTTTAGAATATGCCATTAGGAAGGTCCATAAAAACCAGGTGGGACTGAAATCAAACGGGACACATCAGCTTCTGGTCTATGCTGATGATGTGAAACTACTGTGATAACATAGATACCACAAAGAAAAACACAGAAACTGTAACTGACACCAGTAAGGAAGTTGCTCTAGATATAAACGTCGAGAAACCAAGTGTATGTTGCTGTCTCTTCACCAGAATGCAGGGCAAATCATGATATAAAGCTAGCTAACAAATGCTTGGAAAATGTGGCACGGTTCAAATATTTGGGAACAACACTAACAAATCAAATTTTGATTGAGCAGGAAATTAAGAGATTGAATTTGAGTAATATTTGCTACTTTTCAGTCCAAAACCTTTTGTTTTCTCATCTACTGCCTAAAAACATAAAAAGTAGAATATACAAAACTATAATTTTGCCTGTGGGGTTTGAAACTTGGTCTCTGACATTAAGGAAGAAACATGGACTGAGGGGATTTGAGAACAGGGTGTTGAGGAGAATATTTGGACTGAACAGAAATGAAGACCAAGACATAGGTGGGTGGATAATATTAAAATGGATTTTGGGAGATATGATGGGATGGTATGAATTGGATTGATCTGGCTCAGGATAGGGACCAGTGGAGGGCTCTTGTGAACACGATAACCAACCTTTGGGTTCCACAAAATCCTGGGAAGTTCTAGAGTGGCTTCTCAAGAAGGGCTCAGCTCCATAAGTGAGTGAACCCACAGCATTAATTTCATTACTCCTGCACAGGATATTGCCATATAGCACAGTATGGTGACCAGGCTATGGGATCGACTAGGGAATCGAGGTTCAATCCTCACTTGCAGCAGAGGTTTTTCCTTTTTTTCCCCACATTCACCTGTAGCATCCAGACCCTATGAGTCTGGGGCCCATTCAGCCTTCAATCCACTGGGCACCAGGAGCTCTTGTCCCAGGGTTACAGCAGCTGGACCCTGAAGCTGACCTCTCATTTTCATCTGTCAACTGAGTCCATAATTGAGTATGGTGAGACCATGTCACTCTAACTGAAGTGAAAGCTGAACTTTTGGCATTACAGTCAGTAATTCCAAACAGCATTAGCCTGTGGCACCATTGAATGCAGACAGGAGAGGTCAAAGAACCATTCATTTCTTCAGAACTTCCTTTGACCAAACTATTTTAACTGAATTGTAGTATAAGGAGGGAACCAGGATAGCACAGTCAGTATAGCAACCAGCTATGGGCTGGACAGCTAGAGGTCAGAGTTCAAATCCCAGTAGGGGTAAGAGTTTTCTCCCCTCCATGTCATCCAGACTGATTCTGGGGCCCACCCAGCTTCCTATCATATGGATACCTGGAGCTCTTTCCTTGGGGGGTAGAATGGTGATGGTGTGAACTTGACCACTTACCTCAAACAAGTGCTGAGGTCAGAAATACATGTATGTGGATCTGTATATATATTCCCCTATATGCATGATCTTCATGGCAAATTGCTTAATTAGTGAAGCACAAAGACAACTTTGCCTTTTACTTTACCTGTAGTGTGAAGAGGCAAACTGATGCATATGTTCTTAATATGGTTTTGCTTTTCAGTGTTCTTTAAATGAAGTAAAGCATGGAAAGTAACATGGTGAATTCAAGTCCATATGTCTGCCCAATCACATGAAGGTCCAGGCTGATGTTGCCTCTTAACATTCAAATTTGGGGTTAATAAAATTGTCTGTGCTGTTTCCCACAGGCAGATTTTGTTCAAATTGTTTGATCAAGAATTGTGGAAGTTCTGGAGCTCTAACTAATGCTGTATTACTAAACTCATTGCCAAAAACAACAGTACTTCATTAACAGCTTTAGATCTATGCAAATGGAAGTTATAAAAATGATACTTTATTGGTAAATGTGTATTGCACAAATGAGCAAAGGAGATTCCTGCATGCACAAGCTCTGGCCTAATTATGGCATATAGAGAACAAAAAATGTTACAGGGCTGAGTAAGATTTTGATAACCAGACACATAAGACCTTATGTTTCACACAGTAAAGCATAAACACTGTACTTTTCAGATCTCTGTTTCACCCAATGCTTCCTAGCATTCACATATAAGGTAGGAGGGGAAATAATACTTTTCCTTAGATAAAATGTTACTTTATACAAAAAAGTAAAGCTATCCCTGTAACAGGCCGTGAAGGCCCATAGGGTTGTGAGACGTTGGGCATCCCACATTATCTAGACAATTGGCTCAAAGATGGCGGTAAGGTTGTTTACGCGCCAATCACGCTTTACTCCCCAGGAAAATTATTTAATTCCTGGTACTCATTTCTGTCAGAGGCTGAGTGAACCCCAGGGCCATAGTGCGGCCAGAAGGATTAGGTCAATTGAAAAAATCCAATGACCTCATCGAGACTTGAACCCGCGCCCATTCGGCTTGTAGCATAGTGACTCAACCACTACGCTACCACGTGCCCCCCTACTATATACAAAGAAGACCTTAAAAATGCATGAACAGGATATACTTAAACTAACCTTTCAAGAATGGCATCACATGTGTTAATTGTGGTTGTGGGGGAAGGAAATTATTAGTAATATGGGAAGTATTGGTAGACTGTAAATGGTTCTGCCAGCGGTGTATAATACTCAGAATTACTCAGAATGAATTTTGAGATTCATTCATCATCCACCATTCTAAAAACCTATGGAACATTTTGGAAACTTTGTCTGTTTTTGTGCTCAGGTGAGGTGACAAGATACAGATCCCCTTTCTGAAACATTGTGCTTTCTAGTTTATTACGATACCGGAAAATGGACAAAGTCCAAAACCCCAGTAATTCTGAATGGGAAGTATTTTTGTGATTTATTTTAGGACACCATAATTGAGAATTTGTACATTGACTGACCAGATGATAGTGAATAATGAATCTGAAAGTGCATGCAAGTGGTAGGATACTATCTTGGCATCTACCTGGATGGACTGAGAAAGACCATGAAAACCTCAAATCAGGATACTCAGTGCCCCAGCCAAGATCTGAATTGTGCACCTTCCACATATAAAGCGGAAGTATCACAGCTTGAGCCAGCTTGCTCAGCAATATGGGGAGTAAAATGCTGTTTGTTTCTGTAGTACTTTTAACTGCCTTAAAAGATACTACATTGAAACACCTATTTAATGAATCCTAGGAGGAACAGCTTTTCTAACACTAAATCAATGTTTTCACTTAATGCGGGTTCAACACGAGACTAATTCATTTCTTATCAGATTTGCTGTACATAATTATAATAAAGCAATTACTTTACATAAGCAGTTAAAGAAATTTTTTCCATACAAAAAACACAATTACTTAATGAGTAATATCACATTAATTTCTAAATTAATTAATGACATACGAAACAAAAAATTAAAGAAACTCAGTCAAGAATGTAAGCAACCATGTGGCACAAGCTCCATGGTTTCAGTATGTTCAATATGTGATGTCACTTGTCAAAAATTATAATTTCTGTTTTCCATGTTAACATAAAATCGAATGCTCTCTACTCACATCACCAAACTACCATACATGAATTCCAAAAACTTGAAATATTTATAATCAAAATGTATGAACAAACAAAGGGAAAAATACAGAAGAAAACCAATGTTATAAATACTAAACAACCCACCTCATACAAATGACTGTAACTCATTATGCACACACTCACACTCTCTCACACAAGGAAGCACACACACACATACATATACACTACCAGTACTAAAAATTTATGTATAAGCCTCTATTCAAAGAGACAATTTTTACAAAATTAAACAAAACCAGTTGTTTTTAATAATAGTGTATATTTCTGCAGCAACTGTTATAAATTCCATACAATATTTTATTACATGTATCAAGGATACCTTAAAAGTAACTATACAAACCTTCTAAATACATGTTACTTAAAACATTATTTTCTTGTACTTTGGAAATTACAAATTTATAACTCTACTGGAGGAACAGATGTATGAATACGTAATCCATGCATATCTTTGATTTCTTCTTTTAGTGCCTGTGGAAGAAAAAATTAATTTGTTATGGTAATTGTACATAAATGACACAAAGAGCTTTCTCATACGCTTCACAATAAGACTGCAAGATTAAAAAGTATACTGTATATAATTAACAGGCATGTTCTGGAGAAGCAATTATAAATGACACGCTAACATCCATCCTCTTGAAATTGTTTACAGGGAAAAAAAACGTAGCTAAGATGAGAAAGGGAAGAGTCATTCTGCAATTCCATGTGGGAACCTCCCACAGTCTGACAACAACTAACCACATTCTAACAGACAACAGACAACTCCCACAGTGTAACAGGAGCACCAGTCCACGCATTTAACACTCTGTAGTTTCCACAGGGACGCCAACCGTTGTCCTTCTTGGTCACGATGTGCAGTGCAGAAGACCAGGAACTCTCAGAGTGGTGAGCTGCGCTGTCCCAAAACATGGCCTCGAACTCAGCTTTGGCGATAGCAAGCCAGTCCAGTTCCAATCAGTGTGGTCGGCAGGTGACTAGTGGGCCAGGTACAGTCCTGATGTGATGGATAGTGTTGTGGCGCACTTCACGCTGCACTCTGGCTGAGTGGGTGAGGTCTGGGAATTCGGCGAAGAGGCTGTCGACCAGTGTGCCGCTAGTGATGGTCTTCACGCTTGGAATATGTGCACTGGCTGTTACGCTGTGGGAGTTGTCTGTTGTCTCTTAGACCGTTAGAGTTGTTTGTTGTCCGTTAGAATGTGGGAGTTGTTGTCAGACTGTGGGAGGTTCCCACATCCAGAAGTTTTCATGTAATGTTTCCAATATTAGTCTCTGATTTTTGTCAAGATTGGAATATGTTGATAAATTTTGCTAAAATCCCCAAATACCAATTTTTTTTTTAATTAATTCACCAGATTTTTGTGTCATGTTTACAGACACGCAGAAGGGTTGAAAATGCACCTAAAAACAAACAGTAATATAGCATGACTATCAAATATGTTGATTCAATTAATACTGTAATACTGCAGCTATCTACACAGAAGAGTATGCAATATGTAATCTACAAAGAATAACAGGAAATCTCATGTACCTTCAAACTATCATTTATGTGTGCACTTTTCTCAGAAGAAAGTCATGTTAGTTCCGACAAGGAATGTCTAATCTTTACCTCATTGATCATCCGGTGCTGTTTAACCATGCTCAAGCCTTTGAACTCTGCCGTCTCAATGATAATCTCAAACATTGCCCCACAGCCACCTGCAAAGTAAGTTGAACAGACAAATAATGAACAAGAATAATATCAGAGGTGCAGAAGTCCAGGAACAGTGAAAAGCCTGAATTCTAAAGGACACATCTACATCACTAGAGAATGTACTATGAATGAAACTTAACCACAGCAAACACTGAAGTTTACCTATTTCTAGTACTCATCTCTACCAAACACTAATCTCCAAAATGCTGGTACATTGTAATATACAGCATCCAGACTGACCCTGGGGCTGATCCACCCTCTTAATCAAATGCCAGGCATTCTTTCAGGAAGCTATAGTATCTGGGACAGATCCACATAGTGCCAAAGTTAAGAATGTGTGCAGCCATACCTCCTCTCCCCCTTACATCTTCATTATGTGGTGCTAATTAAACACACGGACAACTTTGTATGTTTTACCTACACCTTCACAAGGTTATAATGTTAAGATAAAGAACACATGTGGTCTCTATTTTGTTTTATTGAGTTTAAACCATTTTCAAATCATATTTATTATATACCTTTCATTTTCTTTATATACACATTTAAGACCTGAACTGAATATTCACACTTTTACATCCATAAAGAGGTGTGGTCTGTAAAGCTTACCTAAGTTGGTGAAATAACAGGCCAACAAAAATAGCTGCCCAAACCTGACCTATTCCCATCCTTCTCTATAAAATCAACTTTTTCTAATATTATAAAAATGTTTCTGTGTGCTTTTAATTACTGCAGTCTTCTACATACAAAAAATGTTGTCTAACAATGAAGTGAATGCAAAAGTAGGGTTAGGGTACAGTGAACAGGATAATACAATGGGCAAAATGATGAGTCAAGAGGGATAAAAGTAAGCCATTAAAGCTGATTTTAAGGCACAATCGTACCACTGGCCTCCAGGGGCCAAGGGAAATGGTGAAAAGCAAATGTCACAAAGTTGTGAAATTTGTGGTTCTCATGGCAGTGACTATGAAGATTTACTGTTTTCTGGCATAGGAAGCTGTGTAATCTGATGTCACAGATCATTACATTCCAAGAGGAATTTCATCCTTCAACCTTCTAGCTTGAAGAGTATGTTTCACTATGTGATGTAATGGCATTAATAAAATCCACTTCAAGCTCATCACACGTTCTGAAAATTATGTATGAAGTGGCAAACGTGCGTTCAAAATATAGTTCCCTAAGGCGAGCATAAACACAACGTCGGCGATAACCTGTACAAAACGTATGTTTCCCTTCCATCTTCCTGTGTTGTATAATTAAATTCATATACCTGATATGTCAACAACATCAATTGTCTTTGCCCGTGGAAACTGCTGTTGCAGAATTTCTTTAACTTTCTTCTCTGTCGTGTTTCCAGAAACTGCCTGTGGACCATTCCAAAGACGAGATAGGAGCTGCAAGGCACAAACATTATTTAATTATGCCTTTAAAAATATGTGTAATCTTTCACGTATCGCATGTGTATACAGACCGAGAATTGCCGTGAACTTCCAATTTTTTGTATTTTATTCATACTTTGGTAAGTAGCTGGCACAATTTGAAGATTAGCGCTTCTCATCCGTCATTTCGCCGCAGCCATTTCTCCACTTTTAAATTCGAGATTTTCGATATATCGTACAGGTACATCACGTCCTGCATCACTTAGAACGACCTAGAACACCCAGAACAAATTCTCGCTCGTGTACAAGCACTGAACAACTCACGATTTAATTAACCCGCAGAAACTCCACGGTGAAAAACATATATTCTCATTTGTGGATGTATTTACGAGAAATAAGTTATCTATAATTTTATGAATGGGTTTCATATGTGCAGTTGACGTCATGCAAATATAAATCAAAGATTGGCAGCACAGAACGGCACAGAATATTCAGATGCCAAGAAGTCGAATATATGAATTTTGCATAAAGGTTATGTACAACTCTGTGTCTGAACATACATTCTACATATTGAAAATAGCGTAATTATATTTGTAATATTTTGTCAATGTTAAGAGCTAAATAAATCTGTGAGTGCTGATCCTAGACGAGACAGAATTACCTGTGGTAATGGAAATGCCAAAGAATTGGACTCGGGTAGTGGCTGGGCACTCCACGGATCATCCCATTTGGACATACGTTATTTTCTCTCAAATGTGACTGAGATTGTGAAAAAAAAGTCACGGAGCGTGTTGAAGTGCCACGGATCACCTGCATGGACGTAAAAGGTAAAATAAGGTGAAGTTGTCACTGTGTTTAACTAATTAAGCACTACGCCATGGAGACGTATGGGGGAGTTGATGTACAGATCCACATTTTCTTGAGCTCCTCACTAGTTGAAAGTGAGTGGTCAGTTTCACGCCCCAGGCGCTTTAACTCCGGGGAAAGAGCCCCCGTTACCCATTGGATAGGAGGATGGGTGGAACCCAGAGTCGGTCTGGATGACAGGAAGAGGTGAAAATTCCTGCGCCTACCGGGACTCGAACTCCAATCCCTTGGTCGTCCGGCCCAAAGCCAACTGCTATACTGACTGCGCAATCCCGGCTCCTCCTGTATGGATGTAAAAGTGTAAATATTCAGTTTGATTTGTTTCATTCTGGTCCGTCACAATAACAATTACAAATTATAAATCACTCCGTCCAATGTGACCTGTAAGTTTTTTACTACGTAAAAACTTAACACCCTTACATGTTTCGGTCTCTGTGGACCATCTTCAGAGGGCAAACATCACTACAAATAGGAAACCACTATCACATAATTTGTTTACACACAAAGTATGTACTGATATGTTGGGATTTTGGACTTTATCCATCGTCCTGGTTTTTAAGATAACGAATAAAAACACGACGTTTCGGAAACTGGATCTGTTTCCGTCCTCAGGCGAAGGAAAACACCTATTCAGTTGGGTCCCTTAGAAAGAGCTAGCCTCAATCACTGGTCCAGNCCTCTGAAGATGGTCCACAGAGACCGAAACATGTAAGGGTGTTAAGTTTTTACGTAGTAAAAAACTTACAGGTCACATCGGACGGAGTGATTTATAATTTGTAAATATTCAGTTGTGGTCTCTCGTGTGCATCATGTGTACATAAAGGAAAGTAAGAGCATATAATAAAGAGTTGAAAATGGTTTGAACTCAACAAAACAAAACAGAGATAAAGTCTTCTTTTTTTTAACATTATAACCTTGTAAAGGTGTAAGTAAAACATTCAGGGCCGCGCCATAGCTCAAGCGGTTAGTCCCACCGCGGCGGCCCAGGTTCGATCCCGGGTCTGGTCAAGTGGGCTTTGTGGTGGACAAAGTGGCGCTGGGGCAGATTTTCTCCGAGTACTTCGGTTTCCCTGCCAATCTTCATTCCACCATTCAATCACCCTCACCTCTCATCTGGGGCTGGTACAATAGGCCAGAAGTGGCCACAGTATAAGGGACTTAGTCCCACCCCACTATAAATAAAAAAAAATAAAACATACAAAGTTGTCCTGTGTTTAATTAGCACCACAAAATGAAGATGTATAGGGGAGAGGAGGTACAGCTGCACACATTCTTAACCTTGGCACTGCATGGAGCCGAACGTAGAGCTTCCTGGCCCAGCTACTGTAGCCTCCTGAAAGAATGCCTGGCATTTAAATAGCAGGGTGGATTACCCTCAGGAGCAGACTGGATGCTATATGTTACAGAAATGAGTGCTAGAAATAGATAAATTTCAATGTTTGAAGGTAAAAACAGTAAAACTATCCATGTAACGGACTGTGAAGACCCATAGGGTTGTGAGACATCGAGGCTCCCAAATTTTCTCTAGACAACTGGATCACAGATGGCATTAAAAGTTGTCAGCCTTACACGCCGGCCGACCTTTAACCCAGGAAGATTTATGGCACTCATTTCTGTTAGAGGCTGAGTCAACCCCAGGACCGTATTGTGGCTGGAAGGATGAGGTAAATTGAAAAACAACCTCATCGGGACTTGAACCCGCAACCTTCCAGCTTGTAGCATAGTGCCTCACCTGACTACAAAGTTTCCAAAACTTTGTGTTCTCTAGTTTTTTAGAATACCGGATGATGGCTGAAGCCCAAGAACCCAGTAATTCTGAGTGTTATAAACCATTGTCAGAACACTTTTGAATCTACTAGTACTTCCTATATTATTAATAATTTCCTGCCCCAACAACCACAATTAACACGTTTGATAACAAATCTTAAAGAATTAGATAAAACATTTCTCATTCACACATCTTAAGGTCTTTAATGTTTGATATAAGGAAAATACGTAGCAAATTTACTCAGACTACACACTGATTAAAAAGATGGGATGGCTTAGTTGGTATAGCAATGGGGTATGGGCTGGATGGCTGAGGTATTGTGGTTTGATAGCGGCAAGAGCTTTTCCTCTTTCCTGCAGTCTCCAGACCATATATTAGGGCCACCCAGCCTCCTATGCAATGGGTACCAGGGGCTGAAGTGGCTGTGCAGGAAGCTGAGCACTCACCTCCATCTACAGCCAAGGTCTATGGTGGTAGAGCTACACCTCCATTCCTCTATACATCTTCATTGCGTGGTTCTTAATTAATTAAGTGCATGAACAACTTTGCTCTTTACCTTTACACATAGCTTTTACCTTGTGTTGGAATATGATCTAGTAGAAGAAATACATGGAGTTTATGGGACAACCATATTCTGCCAGCTTAACCATGTGGCAGCACATCCATTTCAACAAATACTGATTGGTGTGGCACTTAATTCATGGTATTAATAAGATTATACGGTGTAGCTTCTGACGTCTCCCTCACTTGAAGATAGAAATATCCAGTTTCCATTATATTGTGTTCTTTCAGATGATGGATAAAGTCCAAAAACCAATTAATCCCTAAAGAAATTTATTCCTTTCCTTTCTTGGCAGCCAAAGTCACTAGATTCTCCAGTGTGCATTTAAACATGTAAGCATATTCATCTCCTTCCTGCAAATGAATGTAAATTAGCTGCAGAACTATTTATGAAGCCACAGTGATGCCAATATGTGTGACACTTATATGAGATTCTGTGTATGTTTGAGATGGTTTTCAAATTCCTGTGCTGTCTTCTGAGAGACCTTTAATTATGTAGTTTCATGTCTTTTTGATAATTATTAATTATGATGTAATTTTAAAGAACACTCTATATGTTGTTAATGCATTACAATAATACTTTGCAAAGATTAAGTTAAAATATAAGAATATATAATTCTGAAATTAGAAATTATGGATATTAATCTTAAGTAAACAAGTTTAATGCTATATACAGTGCTAATTTCAAAAATAGATTTCATGTGTAGTTTGGTGAAGGCTGTTCCATAGCTCAGGCACTTAGATGCCAGCTTCTGTCTGTGGAGGCCCTAGTTTAGTACAAGAGCAGTTACTGTGAAATTTATGATGATTAAAATGCTTTGGTTTCCATTCACATCTGCAGTGTGAAACTGGATGATGAGACATATTATTATAACCTTGCTTCTTAGTTGAGGTTTCATTTCTGACTTGGCATTTTGCTGGTATCATGAAAAAATTACTGCTTGACAGCCCATATATGTTGCAATTTATAAACAGTACCCATAATCTGAAAAGGTTGTTGATAAATCTCATGATATTTAAATAGAGAAACTTGATGTTAATCACAGAGAATAGTATTCAGATGAGATGACAGTAGGTTCAAGATTTTGGGCACCTCAGCTGATAGATCAACAATACATAGCTGTCAGAATCGGTAGTTAACGACATTCTGTCATGAACTCAGTTCAACTGATCCTAGGTTTTTGTTGTTTGTAATAAATCAAATCATTGCTCAGTTGTATATGATGTTTTATTGAAATGGGCAAACAAACAGTATTAAATGTCTGCATTTTTTAATATAGAGAACAGAATACACTGCATTTGTGAATGAAATATGAAAACTAATTTATTATAGAGAAGCATCTAATTTTAAAAATTGAGAAATACATAAAACTGTTTGTATAATTGTTGGTGTTTCTTTCAGGCTCTTTCTTGACCTGAACATTGCATGAAGGTGACTGATATGCCTCATGCTCCTTTTGCTTTACTATGGGAAGAGAGGCTCCTGCACCCATCAGGTAGAGTTGGATGAGTCCTAGAATACCGTATTTACGCATGTATAGGCCACGTGCATGTATAGGCCGCAGCACAATTTTCAGACAGAAATTATAGAAAAAATAATTTTCTTGGAATATTATTTCAGGAGTAGAACATCCTGTATTACTAATTATGAATATAATTTTTTTTAAATGAAGTGTGATTTCGAATATTTCGAATATAAGCCGCACCCCAGTTTTCCTCTTGAATTTTTGGCTAAAAATGTGCGGCCTATACATTCGTAAATATGGTAGTTCATATACAGAGTGGTCAAAAAGTCAGTTAACCCAAAATATTCTCTTATATTAACAGAAATGTTCAGATTTCAACCTGCTGCTCAATCTATAGAACAGTATCACACATTGTGAGGTTTATATTGAACATGGAGGATCTCTTTTTGAACAATTTTTGCAAATTCAGCAAGAAATGAAGACATTTCTAATGTATTTTAGTGTAGAAGGTGCTAATGAGTTAACTTATTCTTGGAGCACTCAGTATATTAGCACACAGAAGATTCCTAGTGCCTCTGCTATTCTAAGGCTTATAATGACATTAGAAGTTTTGAGGTAATGTTCTATTTCTTCATCAGTGATTTTAAAATTATCCAACTGGGTTTTCACCTACCAAAAACCAAGCCATCATTACAGGGATAGTGCAGCCTTAGGAACTGCTGGGACTAAGCCCATTTTTATTATTTTTTGACATTGAGGAATTTGTATTTGGTATTGGAATGAGTAACAACAAAAGACAAGTAATATTGGTGGCTATCCTGTCATGGTTCTGGTTGAGGGCTACTCATAGCTATCCCCTCTCAGCAGGTTTGGCCTGGCATGGCTTGCTGCAATAGAATAATACTTTTGTCTAATGAAAAATAAGTTTTGACTTCATACGATTGCTGACATAATAACATAATCTGTTATCTGATAGTTATATTTAACCTGAAGTTTATTGAAGCTATATAATTAAAGCTATTGAAGATATAATTAAAATAGGTGTAAATAAAAATAAAAGGTCTCAGTGAAATTCTTCTTCATTTTGCAATTTGTATTTATAAACTAACACCCATACTTGTAACAAAACAAATGCAACATCATTCTTTAAAATCATTATGGTTTTCGCTATAGGTCTTTTTCTTCTTCTTCCATTCCTGTACTCCCACTTGGAGCATGGGGCATCTGTGAAACACCCATTTCACTTCAGTTTCTTAATCTTAGACAGTCGGTAGGACTCCTTGAATTGGGGATCAGCCTATCGCAAGGCTGTTACCTAACACAAACACAGAGTAAACACAAACAGATATCCATGCCTTGAGTAGGATTCAAACCCATGATCCAAGTGTTCAAGCAAGTGAAGACATTTCATGCCTTAGATTGCGCAGCCACTGTGTTCAGCTTACTATAGGTAGGGTTCCCTAATCAAAATACACGTCTGTGAAATATATATTCCTGGTAATGAATGGATAAGCTGGGTAATGAAATGATGAATGAAGGCTAGATTTATATTAATTTATAATTGATATGAGCATGTTTTAGATATTTTTATATCTATGAATTCCTTCAGGCCTTCCCCTGAAATGAAATCTATTGTATGGTCCTAGAAGTAGGTTGTCATATCATTCATAATGAGACACTTTAGTTTGTATATACCAGAAAAGAAAGGGTCACATATCAAACATTGTAATACAAAATAAGTAACGCAATCATGATTCTGAATGTTTGTATATTATTATCTAATTCACATTTGTTACAGATAAAGTAAGAAATAATCCACAATTTATCAACCACCACTTTCATGAATAACAAATTATCTGAAAATAATAATTTTAGCACACAGGAAAATAAAAAAAAAATTGTTTATAATGCTGGTGAAAAACAAATAAGTTATCGCACTGCACACACTTATTGGTAGAGAAAAACACAGTCAGCATCTGTTCTGCACCGAACAAGCTGCACGCTTGCCTGGACACATCACAAACACAAACTTTACACTTTTATATTCAAGGAGAAAATTTCTGGTTTTTGTGCTTTGAGAACAAGGGAGGGGAAGGGAAGGGAATTGAAAGGAAAAAAGAATAGTGAGATTTTTAGAACACATAAAATTCACGTCTTGAACTTAAATGCTTGTCTGTTATCTTTTAGCTGTGAAAATACTGTACTCACTTGCCTTGAAACCAGTCAAGGGAAATGTTTATAAATAGAGAGATTGCCTTTGCGATTGTCTTTGACACACCTCCTCCAAAACACTCTGCCATCACTTGTTTCAATAACATGATACATTTTACGAAAAGTCAACTGTAGTACCCGTCACAAAACATATTTTATGGAAAGACATGGCTACTCTCTTGTTTCAACATAAACTATACCACATATTCACTTCACGTAAGTTTTTGGTACAATCCATTCAATTTCCAGTCCTTGGTTAAAGTATAGGATACACTCTTTCGATTCCATTCTTACACTGCTTTGTGTATACAAATATTATGTACATATTACAGAGGTAAATCCCTATCACTCTTCTGCTAACAAAGAGTTTTATTAAAAATGTGAACCATCCATCTATGTAATTATTGGTCTTTATTATGAGACTTGGTCAAATATTATTTTAATAAATATCAGTGTTTAAAGTATGTAGAGGGAATGATTAGCTGCCCATATAAAATTTGGCAACATCTTGTTAGGAATTGAAAAGGCCTGTTGTGTCAGAACTAGTTATTTTGTAGTCAAAAATGTGTGATTTTTAGGTACATGAGGCAAGTGCAAGATTTGGAACTACAAGGTTCTAACTATATTATAGTTACACCACTACAGCCACAGTAACATCTCCCAGAACATGTTTCCTCTTCCATAAAGAGTGAAACCAAACCAAGGAGGGTATTAAAGAAATGAGATATTGACTAGAGATATCGTTGTGAACATCCACAGTCTGTCAGAATCCAGCAATGAGCTGGTGGTCTGTGAAAGCAAAATGTTGTGATTTATATTTTGCTTTGAGTACACTGTTGAAAGTATTACATAAATTAGTACAATGAATTAAATGTATATAAAAATATGAATTCAGGAACTTGTAAGTATTAACTAAATACACTGCATTCATGTGCAGTTTCAAATATACTCTAATAAAACATCATTTCACAATAGTGACTAGGCTTTGTTCCAAGTTTTTGACTAGAAAAGAATATACTTAAGTATACAAACCAAATATTAAACAGGTCTTCAGTCAATGATTTCACATATACTTTTTTTCTGTATCTTTTCATGCAATTATATCATGACTATCAGTAAAACTTTATATTACACAGTGTGGACTGAAAAACATACAAACAACTCAAATTACATTCCATCATCATGGCCATTCTGAATGTATGACAATCAAGTGCTCTTAATCTATTTATGCAGTTGTACCATGTAAGGCCCACAGAAAGGAAGTAGTGTTTTGTTCATGTAATATCATACCCTCGGCGACCATACATTGACTTGTAGTTGCCTGCAAATTATGCATGGGATCCATGAAATATAAAAATGTCATGAAAAGAACAGTATTACCTACAGCACAGCAGGTCCTTTTCTATGCTTATCAATATGGCAGATTGCAAACTATGTTGCAGATTTCAAAGTTAGGCTCTAAGAATCACACTTTTAAAAAAGAAAACAACAAGGCTTGGCTAACAAGACTGAGAGGTAACATTAGGATCAAAATGCTGGGTGAAGTTGCAAGCAAGCAGTGAATCTGATCAAAGAATTCAGTTTTGGAATCAAGAGCTCTGAACATCCCAAGCTGATAACGCAATTCATGTTTCATGACAGTTAAAGATTATGTTTACTATGATCTGAGTTCTTGGTTCTCCTTGTTTGTTGTATTATTATGAACTAATCAATTAAAATTCTTTAAAAGCAAGAGTAGTAAATGCCCTACTTTTCTGCACATGGTGGATAAACAGTGGACCTTTAACAATCTTATGAGTTCAACATGAAAATTACATTTATCATATCATTTGTCATATGAAAAAATCCTTGTGTTAAGATATTATGTTAGAAGTGTACTAGTTACTCCACATCAGTATTAGTGAAGAAAACTAGGGCATATTGTATATCCTTCATATCAACTGGAACTCTAGCATGTTTTCAAGTCAGTTTCTTCTCATATGCATAATATATGGAAAATATTAAAGGTAAATTTGTCCCTGTGTTTAACTAATTAAACACTATGCCATGAAGATGTATGGGAGGGAGGGATGTATAGATTCAAATTTTATTGATCTCAGCACTAGCTGGGGGTGAGTTGTTAGCTTCACGCCCTGGCTGCTTTACCCCCAGGGAAAGAGCCCCCAGTACCCATTGATTAGGAGGTTGGTTGAACCCCAGAGTCAGTCTGGTTGACGTGGAGGAGAGAAAATTCTTGACCCTACCGGGACTCAAACTTCAACCCCTCAGCTGTCCAACCCATATACCAACAACGCTATCTCGGCTCCTTGGAAGATATGTCTGTGAAAAAATTTATTTTTCAGTTTAGGGGGAATAAATGTTATGAAATGCCAGGAATCAGTTTGTCTGTGTATTGCTCCAGTAGTTTAATTGTTAAGTGAGTTTTCTTCATTTTGAATATGTATGGGTGTTGATGTCCTGAACAGGTAAACAGAAAATATGAAAATATAAACATTAATTTTAAGAAGAAATGGTAAATGCCTTAAAACACAGTTTTAATGATTTTTAAAACTCTACTGCATATTCCATACATTCAGAAGAAATTATTTTGCATTCAGGAGCTTCTTTTTGTGTGTCTGTGTGTGTGTGTGTGGGGGGGGGTTAAGATGCACATCTATGATAATATTTATCACATATAATTTCTCCTCTTTATTTTAAGCTGGTGCATTCCTCAGATTAAGTAATTATATTTTATGAAAATTAAATCCTTTCTGAAGTTTGTTTTCTCCACATTCACAGTGGTACACTTGAATTACCTGAAATATTTATACAGTTATGCTATTGAGAAATAAAGAGCTCTACTATACAGGGATATATCTGTAGCTTCAGAGGTTTATTTTGAAAAAAAAAACCTGACTTAAAAGCAAGATAAAGTACCAATCATGATATTTAAAACATGAATAATTGTATTCCTATAAAAATGGGACCTTTAAAGGAAAATTATCTCCCATGTTGATACACTGGTTTATACAATATGATGGCACAGATTTTCCTCCTCTTAGTTACTTTACTGCTGGCTTTCAGCTTTCAAGGGCAGTCTGTATTTAAATGGAAGTAAAAGCTGTAAATCAGAACGAACTGTCAGGATATTAAATAGGGACAGCATGTACAATCATTCTCCTCATGTTATGCTGGACCCAAAACATTCAAATGTACAAGATCAAATATTGCTTATGATCATCATTTCCACTCTAGCACTGATATGAACAAAACATTAATATTTTAATGGCAGTAAGTAGTACTTATAGAAGAAACGTGGTGCTTGCCTACTAAAGGACCTTCTGCCCATAGTATATAGTACAATTTAACATTTGCAGACTTGACAATGAAATGTAAAATAGCCAACACATTTTATTTGTTGAAACTGGATTCCATTCTTCAAGAACAATTATAATATAGTATCCCATTACTGATCAACCAAACAGCTGACAAATTTTCAGGTAATATGATTACACAAAACATGAATAACAGCAACATTAAACATTCATTAATAATGTAATTGTATTGTGCGCTTTTTTTCAAACTTTTAAGAAAAATAATTCATACTCTTCTTCGCAAACAATGGAATTCCTACAGTTAAAATATGTTATTCTGTAGGGAAGACATGTTACATCTTGTGAATATGAAAATGTCTGCTTTCATACATGAAGATAAAATATTATGCACACATGAAAATGCCTATCAAAATAGTGACTAGCTAAGAAAGGGATATGTCTAACACTGGTATCTAGAATTTTCCCATACTACATAACAGCACTCTTTTGTGAGTTTGTTAGATGGTGTTGTTGGAATAGTTTCTGATAGTGTGTTCAGATTATTTAAGAGAGTATTTAGGAGTGGAACATAAAGCAATTAGCATTCACAGCTTTGAAAGTTTTAGAGGATTCATTTATGTGTCAATTAAAATTGTAACTGCTTTTCTGCAATGTAACATTCAGACTTCAGCCTCTTATTCAAGTTGAAGAACTTGGAGACCTTGAATGGATCTGACCAACAAGCAAAAGAGCTGGAACTGGAGCTCAGACTTTAAAGATTTCAGAAATACGTTATTGTTATTTGTGGGTTTGATGTATTTTGCATGCAATACTCGTATATCAACAGTGGGATTCAAATTTTCCTTGATGATCTGTACAATGAAGATTCAACTCATTTGCTGATACTTAATAAATCAACCCTAAGAATTCAGTTTAACCCATAAAAAAAGTTGTCATATATTTTAACTGATTATGCATCAGTCTAATGATATAGAAAATAAATGTTACTAAGATTAAATAATGTCAGTGAAGGTATCTGTGAATTTCACTGTTCCCAATCTCAATTGCAATGATCTCCAATTTTTAAATTCAAATGTGTTTACAGAACAGACCAAATAATGCATTAACTCTGCTGTGTTTATTTAAAAAAATTAAGAAACATTGTACTGGAGTCTGAATGGTCAAATAAAGTGTCTTTCTTTTTTTAATATGGTGCACTCCATTATGTTTAATGCCATTCTCTGAGCATTTGAATGATGTAGTAGACTAAGTGTGAATGGCGTTATATCAAAGAAGAAAAGTCTAGGTAAATCTACTTATTATTTAAGAGCAATTTCAAGATGTGAACATAACTGAATACAAATTTGGTATAACAAAAGGATGCAAAATGGCAGGTTTATTACTAATATTCTTGTCTTTACAAGAATGAATGAAAGAAGAATACTTCTATCTTGATAGATCTTGCCAGGCAGTGCATGTCTGTGAAGCTCTTGTAAGTCACTGTGAACTTTCTTACCGTAGGGTGCTGTCTCCTAGAAACTGTTATTTGTAGAGAAAACGTGATGTGCAGTAATTTTGCAAGGTGCCAGGTTCAAGGGAATGGGGATGGAGGCAACTTCCTAATGTCAGGAACATCTGGAAAAGGAGAAATACTTGTTTATGGGAGACAAAACTTCAAATTTTATAATTATTTTCACCATCAAAAACTAACGGTCACCTTAATTATGTTTCTGCTTTGATCTTAAAGGAGTTCATTAACTGAAAACTGTCACTTTGAATTCTCTCATGCTGTTTCAACCAATATGGCACTAGACATCTGAAAATAAATTTCTGTATCATTACTCCCTTGCCAGAAGATCAGTGCATGAAAGGTACACCATTGTTAAATCACTGCTTTGAACACAATTTATAAGTCTTTCAGAAGTTACTTAAAATCACTGTAAAGTTTTAAGTTTATCTGATGTTCATGTCATGTAAAAAGAAATACAAGTTCATAAAACTGAAATAAATATTAACTCATGTAGTTAATATATATTTCAAATCATCCCGTATTAAACAATTTTATATCAGTACAATTTTCTGTCATATTTCCAATAATTTTACAATTTCAGCATCTAATAGCACAAAGAGTAAGCACATATGGATTTCTTGCGACTATGGTAAAACCCTTAGATGGCATTCAGAGGAGCCAACATGCTGAATTTAAGTTAAAAATGTCTGCCAATGGTGACTGAAATATTGTAACTTAATGATTTTTCTTTCTTTTTCATTTCAGGTAAATCAATTCAGCAGATTGGACTGAGGTCAATTACTTCTGCTGCTTTCACCCTTTTCCACCTCAGCTTCAACCTAAAAGTCAGTAGCCATTTCACTATATGAAAGTGAAACTTTTTGTTTATACAGTTAATTATTGGCAGTAGGAGTTCATCATTTATCAATATATTCAGGGAATATAATGTTATTTGTGTATTGTACCACACTGATACAGAAAAAGTCCAGTGGTTATTCTGATATTTGGTATTGATTCATTAAATGTACCATTTGACGTTATGATAATTGTACTGTTTTCTGCCTCTCTACCCATGAATGTATACAATATGGCTGTTTCTAGCATAATGGAAATTATTCAGAAAATTTGAATGCAGAAATTTAAAGAAGTTAATAAGGTTAGCTAATGTTCAGTTTCTACATCACAACAATAATACCTTGTTTGCTTGATCAGCAGTATAGGTTCCCTTACATCATTGTTGATGATAATACTTGTACCCATTGATAATGTGCTTGTCTATTTTCAGATTTTTAATTACATTTCTCTGATTAACCATCATTAAATTGAGATAAATTATATTTATTGTAATTTATCAAGGTCAACAAATTCATTTAATGATGGTGTTGTGATCTGTTCGGTAATATTTAACTAGTCATGCACGAATCTGGGGGAGGCTAATCTTAATACAAGGAATGAATGTTTTTGCCTGTACTGCTCTACAAGATTTCTTCTTGAATTCAAGCGAAAATGTAAAACAAACTTCAGTTACTCAATGATGTAATTAAAACTCAAATGTTTCATATAAAATGAAAAAAAAAAAAAGAATCATATGCATCAGATATGCTCGAAAATGCAACAGCATTAATTTACCAGATGCCTCATAGGGTCATTCATGAAAACAGAATCCCATATACTATGAAAATTCGGCAAAGAGATTACAGGTTTTCTCCATTTATCAGTTTTTCTGTTGACATTTATCTAATACAGTAAAACAGTGTTTTTACCTTGTGAATGTACATATAATGAAAGGGCTGTATGATGCCATGAACATGGGCTAGTAAAATAAGGGAAAACTGTCATACAAATTAATATTTAGTAATTATAATATCAAACGTAAATTCAATGTGTTACCCGGATTGTTCCAGGTTATGTATTTAGTCACAGGTAATGTGGAATTGATCTGACGCGGAAAGGCACATACTTCAAAATATATTATTGAAAAAACAAGTTAATCATATAACATTTAAAAGATACAACTCTTTAAGCGCAGGACTGCATATCAAAATTAAAAATATTCTTGCATATATGTGCATAATATCATCCCCAACCCTACAATTTTGAGAAGGATTTTGTTTTTTTGTTTGTTTGTTTTTTGTTTTTGTTTTTGTTTTTTTCATTTATTATTTCTCATATTTCTCTGTCTTCAGTTCTACATCAATTTGCTTTTTCCATTGACTTTGGAGACAGGCAAAGTCTAGGACCCTGTACTTGACAAAATGCATTACATATACAATAGGGCTACAACCAATCCTTTACAAATTTTGTAATTCTGTATTCCTCTAGTTTTTAAATGTGAATCTTCACTCTCTGTGCCTAATTCCCAGAATATTATCTTCATTTTCTTTCCTGCAGTTTAGGAATCAGACAGAAAGGGGGGAAAATTATACAACAAATTGTAAATTTTTAATTAAAAGAAATACCAAAATACAAAAGTTAATTTTAGATTGTTAACCGAATGTTTAAAAAATACCTAATTTTTATTAATATGCTTCAATGCCTCGTAAATGCCACAAAAGTAGCCACCACTATAATATCCTACATATATCTGATTAACTGTATGTAAATCATTCAAGTGAACAATTTAGTTTGACACTATACAATTTGTGTAGCTGTTACAAGCAATTATGTTTTCCTTTGTTCATTAATGAAAAACACTAAAATTATAAAATTCTTTATTTAATAATTTGTGATTCTAAATACCTGTATGCTGTAATACATGAACAGACAAGGAAAAAACATATATATTAATAGTAAAAGTAAAGTTGTCCCTGTGCTTAACTAAGTAAGTACTACGCCATGAAGGCGTATAGGGGAGTGCCCTCAGCACTAGTTGGAGGTGAATGGTCAGCTTCACAGCCCGGCCACTTTATCCCCGGGGAAAAAGCCCTTGGTACTCATTGTACAGGGTGTTGGTTGGACCCGGTCTGAACAACATGGAGAAGTGAAAATTCTTGACCACACCGGGACTCAAACTCCAACCCCTCAGTTGTCCAGCCAGTAGCCAGTCAGTATACTGACTGTGCTATCCCGGCTCATTATATATTAACAGTGTTAATATAAAACTTGGTACCACACTGCTGTAAATATTTCATTATGCATTTTAAACAGTAATTCAGTGGAAGTTAATTCAGAGTCCTTGGTGACAGTGTGGTGAGCTTCATAGAGTATCCAAATTTGAGTGCAACACTGACTATATTTAGAATATGGAAACAAAATAACCCAATTAAATCTTAAACCACAAGTTCTTATTTATCCTGAAAAAAATAACACAAATTGCATGCAAAAGAATGTGACCTGCATTTCATTTTCATGTGATGGTGCTAAAAATTTAATTTTGTGAAAGGTGAGACATACAACCTGGAGACACAGTTCTTGTAGGTCTTTCACTCATTTTTATGCTTCAGTATGATTAGCACTGAAGGTAATATAATTTTGTGACATACACGTTTGTAGTTCTCTGTATCTAAATCAATATCTATGAACATCCATAAATAAGATCCAGAGTTGCACCAAAATGAACTCCACTTTCATAATCCACATTCATTAATTGTTGCTTGGTTGGCTGGCTAGACTAATTTTATGAATGTTAAGGTTATGCAGAGCCAAATGTGATGTGGTATGTGAGTGTGAATGATTAATCCTGAAAATGAAGCCAGGTGTAGCATGCATTTTAATTAATGGTCAATATGTCCTTTAGGTACAGCAGCATAAAAGCTCTACATTTAGAATTTTCAAAATTAGAGCTTCTTTATCACCTGAATTTCAAATTTAGAAGCAATTAATAAAAAGTCATGAAATATACGATCTTGCCAAAACATGCAATATTGTTGGAATTTTAAAAAATACAAGCACAAATTATTCTTTCAAATAATGATAAGTCCCAGCATTCATTGAAACTGTAATTTGTTTCTGGCTGAGTACGTAAACTCAGATTGATTAGGCACATTCCTGATAATATTTACATCACAAACCTCTCAAAATAAGACAGAGTATCAGACATACTATCTACAAAGTGAACAATGTATAGCATGCAGAATTTGAGGTTTCCACAGCAGTGACTGTGAACAATGCCATCTTCTGGGATATGGTTCCATGCAGATCTTGTGTGAAGATCACATCCCACATCCCAGAAGGTGGCAATCTTCAATGTGTAGAATGATAAAAATTTAATTTCCACACAATTTTCTCCTTTAAATTCTGGATTCTATTATTACAGCCCTCAGAAGAATGCTTATAATTTTTTACACTGTATGTACCTACAGTGTTAGTAAATGTGCAATAAAAGAAAAGGATAAATGTAAATACGAAGGGTGTTCTGTAAATAATGTCTCCTATTTTTTTGTGTTAATATATAATGTCTGAGATGGATGTTGGTGGTATTGTAGTAAAGTTTGAACCTTCCCGCCAATGTACTGTTAGTTTGGTTGTCGTGTGACAGCGATAGCAGAGCAGTCTACAAAAATGGTGTCTGACGTAGAAGTGCGTATGAAACAGAGATGTGTTATTGAATTCCTCACTGCCGAACAGATTGTACCCACTGACATCCATCGACACTTGCTAAAGGTGTACAGAGACAATACAGTGGATGTCAGCACACTGAGGTGGTGGGTAGTGCGTTTCAACAGTGGCGAAAGTGAAGTGCACAACAAGCCATGCCCTGGGCGTCCCTGCTCAGATGCCACTCCTCACAATGAACAGCGCCTTATCTGTACAGATTGGCAGAAAACGACCAGGGAACTGTGTGCATGGCCTAATATCGGCTGTAATGCATTGGAAACGATGTTGGGGAAGCTGGATTATCACAAAGTTTGATCCAGGTGTGTTCCACGGATGCTTACACAGGACCACAAAACTCATCGAATTGAAGTTTGTCAGGACCTGTTGCACCAGTTTGAGGCTGAAGGTGACAAGTTTCTGGACAGCATCGTCATCAGAGATGAGACGTGGTGTCACCAGTATGAGCCGGAATCCAAAAGGCAGTCCATGGAGTGGCGACATCCAGATTCCCCAAGAAAAAAGAAGTTCAAGACACAGCCATAGGCAGGGAAAGTGATGTGCACGGTCTTTTGCGATAGGCAGGGTGTGATTTTCTTGGATTTCCTGGAGCCTGGTGAGACTGTCAATTCTGAACGCTACAAGATGACGCTGACTAAGCTGAAAGCCCGCATTTCCCGAGTGCCAGAGAAGCAGACAACCTTTCGCTTGCAACACGATAATGCTAGACCCCATACCAGTTTGGCGACCACCGTGCACATTGCAAAGTTTGGCTGGACTGCCCTACCACATCCACCTTATAGCCCCGGTTTAGCACCTTCAGACTTCCATCTCTTTGGGCCTATGAAAGACGGACTGCGTGGGGAACATTTTCCAGACAACGATGCTGTCATTGCAGCTGTAAGAAAGTGGCTAGCCTCTGCTGGCGCAGACTTTTACGGGCACGGCATACAGGCTCTTGTTCATCGCTGGCAAAAGTGCATAACCAATGGTGGTGATTATGTGGAAAAATAACTATAAGTAGCTGAAATCCTGCTCTATTTAACTGCATTATAATGCTTTCTGTATCTGTTGTAGTTTTCTTTAAAAAAAATAGGAGGTATTATATATGGAACGCTCCTCGTAAATAAAGATATTTTATAACAAAGTAATAAAGGAGCAACAATTAATGTGTTCCAATATATTCCACCACTGAAAAATACAAAATTTTTCTGCTTATGTATACCCTTAATTATTGTACTTCTTGCATTGTACTCTTTATGAAAATAAGCTTTGGCACAACAAATCATAAATAATAAGCATTTTAACCTGAAATTACTAATAACTGATTCCTTTTAAATTGATCATTCCCTCGTACCAAATTGTGTTGAATGGACTATTTTCCCCTTCTTGATACAGGCACAGTATCTTCTCAAAACTGGTTAGAGGATGGCTGCTGGAATTTTTGTTTCTTACATTTGTGTGGATTGGAACTAAGTTAACTTCAATGTTTTTCAACAGAAATTTCTGAAACTGATTTAGTTTCTTTTGAGGAAGTATGATAGTTTACACACAACTGTAAATCATCCTTAACAATATTAACAGAAAATAACTCATGAATACTACAAATGATCAAATTAAATGCAAAAGAAGCAGAGGTTTTTAAAATTTAATTTATCATTACAGAAAAATATGTAATTCCAATTCAGTGTCATAAACACATATTTGACAACTTCCAGAATCTAAATTTATTAATATCCTTTCAAAATTGTCTCCATAAATAGGAATAAAAATTTAAGTCCAGAATATAAGTGGTACAGTAAAAATATGAAATATGTTGTTCATCAGTACCTTTAATTTAAGAGTTTGTTGTAAATTTGAAATAATACTGGGTAGTGTAATTTAGAGAATGTAGTACTAATACTGAATCAATGCTATGATGGTTTATTCGTCTGTTTTGAGGCACTGAGTGATTTTCTTATCATGTTTGAAGTTTCTATCATTTTCTTGTTGGTTGTAAAATCATTGACTTACATATCCTTTTATTCAGCTCTGACTTATAAAATTATTATTAACTAATAACATATAATAACTGTAGAGATTGTGCAACTCTTTTGGAATGGCATGGAAGTTCACTTCCTATATGATTTGTTCAATACTATCAGTTATATTGCCAAAAGAGCACTTGTGGAATGAATCTCATTCATTTTATTACAACAAAGGACCCTCAATATTATGAGGACTGTCTTTCATTGGCTCACCTAGTCTACCTTCCTGTCTCCGTCATGATTGGAAATGCATATTGTTGAGTGTGGCTGAAGAGGCATATTCAGAGGATGCTGGGATATTTTCATGTATGTTTTGTTTACAGGAATTCATCCACATCCACTTTCAAGCTGTGCATTTATGCCTGTCTTGGTATTCTTTGTTCACTGCCTAAAATGACTGTGTATGTTCACTGTAAATTCTTTTGATATATGGCGTTTTTGATACAAAGAAACACAGTGGGACAGATGGTGTTAACATACAATATTGCCTTCAAAATGCCTTGAGCTTCTAACATCATGCATCCTTGAGAATGAATCTTCAACACTGTGAGAGTTCTGCATTGCTGATATATAACTGTCTTCTGAATGGAAGGTTTTCCTTTCCTTCTAGGGTAGAACTCACCTTGTCCACACAGTGGTGCCATGACATTACGCATTACTCTCCTTACGCCCACTAGTTTGCGTGGCAGTAGGTGTTCCTGCCGCACTACCTCCACCACCATTGTTACCATTGTTGTTCAGTTGTGCCAACTGCTTAAAGAGTGATGAGTTGACAAAGCGAGGATATGAGTCTCTGTGCATGAGCGTGTAGATTTGGAGTTGAGCCTCATCAAATGTATGAGGTGTTGGGTCAATCATATTGCGATTCACAATCTCCCGCACCCTTGAGTCCAGACTCACCTACAGCACATAACAATGGATGTTATCAAGTGTGTTGTCTATATTTCATACCTGCTTACGGAAGGGGCATGAGGTTTTAGGCCATCTACTTTTGGTAGGGGTGAGGATTCCCCTCAAACCTTGTAGGTAGACCAGAGGTAGTACCTTTAATCAGCTTTCCTATTCAGTTTTCATGAATTCATATCAATCTTATACAAATTATTTGCAAAGGGAAGCCTGCAAGTTAAGTACCAAAGTATGAAGGCACTTGGGAAAATGGGACTTTTAAGGGACTTGAAGAATGCAAATGATATGGGAAGTTGTTCACTGATGCATGACTGTATGGATGGATGGACAAATGGAGAGAGAGGGAGAGACAGACAGGCTGACTGCATGACTGACTGACAGATAGATGGATGGATGGATGGATAGAAACACAGACAAACAGATACAGATCCATACTACAGGTCCTGGTAAGCAGAATGGAACAAGTCAGAAAACAACACTTCACACCCATAAACACAGAAACACAGCACAGTTTCAGAAACACATTTCCAGAACAAAATGCATTACAGTTGGCCCAATGATGCTATTAACAGTTCTTTGCAACCAAATCTCTACAGTACAGGATGTTTATAAAAGACGGTCCCAGTTTTGAAGTATGTTTGTCTGAGAACAATGATATGAAACCAAACGTAGAATGAATGAAAAGTTTAGGTAACTGAGTTTATAGTGCTTGTGACTCACAGATACTCAATGTGAGCTATTTGTATGGTACAAAATAATGCAGTTTGTAATCAGTTTCTTCTCACATGCTTGACAGCATTTTACTGGTCATAGATTCTAGAGTCATCCAAATCCTGTCTCTCAGCCCTGGTAAGTCTGTTGGCATTGGGGGTATATATTTTCTATATATCCCCAAAGCAAAAGAATCCAAGTATGCAAAGTCAGGGGAATGCAGTAGCCAATGCATGAATCTCCCATGGCTGATCCATCTCTGTGGGAGCACAGTGTCCAGGAATTAACCAACAGGTTTACAAAAGTGTTGAGGGGTTGCACCATCATGGAATATCATTTCCCATGGTCCATAATCATGTTGGGTTGTAAAAACGTGTTGGTCCAATATGTTGAGATAAATGGAACCAGTTATGTTCTTCTCACTGAAGAGAAGGATCCAAAAGTCTTAGTTTTTGACAGTGTGCAAGAGATGTTCAGTTTAGAGATCTCTTGAATATATTCCTAAATAATATGCAGATTTTCACTTCCCCATAGTCTAACATTGTGACAACCGACATGCCTAAATAATTAAAAGTTGCCTCAGTATTATACAGAACCTCAATGTGTCATCCAAAGTAAGTTTCCACTAAAACTCAGAACAAGCACTGGCTGTCTTTGTCATGATGTGCCACATGCTGAGAAATTGGTCTCCATATACTACTCTGTCCAAAAAGTATCCGACCTTGGGCCAGGAAAAAAAGTTATGTATCTGGGTGGTTACAATACCTAATCGCTTTCAAAGTAGGCCCCTTGTGACTCCACACACTTAGCCCAGCGGTCCTTCCATCACAGGAAGCAATTCTGGAAGGCTTCTTTTGGAATGGCATGCAGCTGTGCCATCGCGTTCTGTATTATGTCCTCATGGCTGTCAAAGCGGCAGCCTTTTAGCAGTGTCTTCAATCTCGGGAACAGCCAGAAATCACAAGGAGCCATGTCAGGAGAGTAGGGAGCCTGGCGAACCTGCGGAATGCCATGCTTGACCAGGAAACCCTGGATCAGGTGTGATGAATGAGCTGGAGCGTTGTCATGATGCAGCTGCCGGTTGTGTGCGTCCCACAGCTCCGGTCTCTTGCGCCGAACTGCATCATGAAGATGGCAGAGAACTTCTTGGTAGTACTTCTTATTGACAGTCTGGCCTAGTGGTGCATACTCATGATGCACAACACCCCAGTATTCGAAAAAAAGTCAGTATCACCTTCACATTGCTCCGAAACTGTCGTGCTCTTTTGGGCCTCGGGAATATTGGATGCTTCCATTGTGACGCCTGGACCTTAGTTTCCAGGTCATATCCGTACATCCACGACTCGTCACCAGTGATCACAGTCTTCAGGAACTCAGGATCTCTGTTGGCGCACTCCAGCATGTCCTGCGTGACCTCAAGATGGAGTTGTTGCTGCTCCGGCGAAAGCAGCTTGGGCAAAATTTTGCCGCCACTCTTCGCATGCCCAAATCCTCAGTTAAAATTGTGTTTGCAGAACCTCTGCTGATCCCAACCTCATCAGCAACTTCACGGATGGCCAAACGACGATCCTCCATGATCACCCGCACTTTTTCAATGACATAAGCATTTCGGCTCATTGACAGTCTCCCGGAACGCTGCTCACTATCCACCGACATACAGCCATGTTTAAAGCGGTTGAACTACTCTTTAATTTGAGTGATCCCCATTGCATCATCGCGGAAAGCCTGCTGGATTTTGCGAATTGTTTCTGCTTGTGTATCCCAAAGTTTCTGACAAAACTGTTCTGTCCTCTTGAGTGAAACGAGAATGCGATGAACACGTGTTACACCATTTCACTATCTGGCAGCCACAGACACATCCGGCAGTGCTGTGAGTCAGCAAAAAATCACGCATGTGCATGAAAGTCCCTTCTACCACTTCTTTCAGTTTCCCCACCCCTTTGGGCACTACTTACAGCGGAAAATAATGAAGTCGGATACTTTTTGGACATACGGTAGCGGTAGCATAGTTGGTTCAGGGGCTATGCTATAAGCCAGAAGGTCACAGGTTCAAGTCCCTATGAGGTCATTGGATTTTTTTTAATTTACCTAATCCTTCTGGCTGCACTAGGCCCTGGGGTTCACTCAGCCTCTAACAGAAATGAGTACCAGGAATTAATTAAATAATTTTCCTGGGGAGTAAAGCACAGCTGGCGCATAAGGCTGACAACCTTACCGCCACCTTTGAGCTGATTCTCTAGATAATGTGGGACCCTCAACGTCTCACAACCCTATGGGCCTTCATGGCCTGGTACAGGGATAGCTTTACTTACTTTTACTCATAGTTAAAACTTATATCAATTTAGGAATTAAAATTAAATTATACACTTAGTGTAGGACCTCTGTGACCAATCTCAATCACGTTCCATCTTTGTGATAATGGAGTGGACATCTCCAAGGGTTTTTTTATTGCCTGTTTATTTACAATCTACTCTGTAAAATATGAGTATTAAGTAAATTTAGTAGTCAATACAGTCAATGTAGGTGCTGTCGGCCAATGCCGGTTCACCTTAGGTTACATATGTAAGTCTTCGGGCCACTTTCGTTTGAGCCTTCTTGCAACGGTTGTCTAAGGTTTTATAGGGTGTTAGTGAGGTGAAAGGAAAGGACTCACATTTGGTGACTATCGACCCTGATGACAAAGACAGAGGAGATCTCTGAAATGTTGGTTTTTAAATCAACACTGACATGGTTGGTCACCCAAGAAGATTTTAGCACTTCTGGTTCTGTTTTGAATAGGTTAGGTTTTTCGTTTTATTTCATAAATAAACTTCTGTGGTTGGTAATGCTGATGTGGTGGACAACATGGCAGTAGCAATTCGAAGTTACATCCTTTTCATTATTACCTCTTTGGGTGAGAGTATTGAGATGTAGTCCTCATATATATATCTGGCTTTCTCTTCCACAACATCTGGATTGGTCTCCTTTTTGAGCTCCTCACAAGCAAGCCAGAAGAGAATATTTTCCTCACTGTATTCACAGCGCAGGAAGTCTCGAAACACTTTCCTGCCAGCTGTAAACAAGAGATATGGCATTAGTGATTAGTAATAAAATCACAAATGAACAGATCACTTTTATCAGACATGCAATTCTATGAATCTTATGTGTCACTAATACTGTATTTAGGGTAAATTCATCAGCTAACAACAAAATGCAATTTAGATGATGGGTTAATTTACTGAGTTTGTGAGATATTGGGCCATAAGATTGAATCCTACTAGTCAGAATATTTTGATTGCTTTCAATTGTAAATGTGTTAAGATACAGATGATGATGATGATGATGATTATTATTATTATTATTATTATTGTAGTAGTAGTAGTAGTAGTAGTAGTAGTAGTAGTAGCAACAGCTATCATCACCAAATTCATTGTCATCATCGGTTATCATTGTGGGTTGTATGAGACAAATGTAGATAGNAATTGGCTTTCATACTTTCGAGAATTGCTTTCTAAACTTTATTCCTAGAGTTTGTGATGAAGCTGACTAATAATACAGACTCATAATATTGCAGTTTTGATTTTTGCAAATTTCACAAAGAAATTTTCTGTACACAAGATGGTGAGATATGCAGTGGCATGAGAGTCAGTATGGTCAGCAGAGCTCCATTATTTTTATTCACTGCACACAACATAAATATACGAATATTATACTTCACTGAGGATTCAGCAACACTGTTATCGATAAGGAAGATATGGAGTTTCAATTAGTTTTCAAAAAATCATATCATTTAGGGAGGTGAGCAGTATTGCCTGTCACAAGTATTTACAAAGCACATTCACAGCACTGCAGTTTTCTAATTTAACCTTAAAAGTGACAAATCAGGTTTGTACTCTCGACAGGATTTATGGAAGATGAATAAATGAAACTCCAGTTTTCAGGACCTACATCTTATTCCAACACATGTGCCATAAATGTACTGGTAGGCTGAACATGTAAGTGTGTTATTTTATATTTAAAATAAGGTGATTTGTACATTTGTAAGTGTACTGGAAGGCCCAACCTACAGGAAGTGTGTTATTTTATATCTTAAGTAAGTTTGATTTGTACTTTCATAAGTGTGTCAGTAAGCTTACCCTATGATAAGCATGTTATTTATATTTTAAGTAAGTTGTTTGTATTTTTGTAAGTGTACTTGCAGGCCCAACCTACAAGAAGTTTACTGTGGGCTGTTAATATGATTGTGCCAGTACATACATTCTTGTAGGTCCTAATAAAACATCAGACTATTTAAACAGCTAGACTTGTTGTCTAAGTCTATAACATGAATACTAGACAAAAATATAACCTTCACCTACTTTCTTCAAATTTATCATTATATCGAAAAAAAAAGTGTACTTTACTGGCATAAAAGTGTTTAATAATCTGCCACAAAGTATACAAAATTTGAGTAATGATACTAAATAGTTTAAATTATCGCTAAAGAATTATCTACATGCTCACTGTTTCTACTCTATAGATAAATACTTCAATGTAAACAGAGAATGATGTAAAATTAATTTTGAATAAATTTTTAAGCTAAAACTATCTGTACTAGTGTACATGTATGTAATTTATGACTTCTTCTGTATCCTGCTTAGGACTTAGAGAATGTAAATAAACTGAACTCTACTCAACTGGTACATATATTTGAGAGACAAGTCTGGTGTCAATGATAAAAGTTGATTAATATGCCTTTGTTAGGCCAGGAGCTGCCTAGGATATTTCTTTCATTGACATAACTGCATCAAATGGGAAGTCGTTTTTCCAATCTTTTGTACAACACAGGGGCCAGTAGTGTATTGATAACTGATATGAGTACAGACAAAACAGTCCAAAATGTACCTAACTTTGATCTGCTCAAACAAGAGTCATGGGACATGGATTCAATACTGCTGTGTGAACCCAAGTTGGTAATGGCACAATATAATTAAGATATCTTACCGGAATTCCTCATGAGTTTGTCAAATGATTTGCCCCAACTTCGGATTTCTTCCAGCGTCGGCCTGATGGAAAAGCAAGAAAATAAATACCATAAGACACTTATAAGTTATGGTATAGTAGACTGGCCTTAGTATAGCAAGAACTGCATCATGTACTGTAAAAATATTTTTATTTTTCATTATTAAATTCTCTTATTGTTCTTCAAAATCACCTTATTGTTTATCTTGTTCTTATTGTTCTTACACTTTTCCTTGTTCTGTAAGGTAGCAAGCAACAACAGTTTAACACTGTGCTATTTCTTAAACTAGCCTTGTAGATCCTGTCTTTATGTTCTTGTTTGTGTGTAATGTAATTAATATGACCCACAGTGTGCTGTTTCTGTAATTGGTCTTGTATGTAGCTATTGACGTGGCACATGAATAATAAAGAACTGCGAATTGTTGTCTTCATCATTATCATCATCACTTTAATGTTTTGTTTTTATTGCTCATTAGATGACATAATACTTATGACTGCATTAAGTAACACATGGACTCATACAAGCAATTGATTCCTCCTCCAGAGATGTACAGCGCCACATTTAGTGAAGCACAACCATAGATGATGAATCGCGATGGCAAAGAAAATCTACTAAAGTTGTATGTCTTTGCAGTAATTGGAAAACAAACACAGCTAAATATTTTGTAATATTTCTGTTGTGCCCATTAAAAAATCCTTCTGACAAAAGAAAATGGCACAAGGGCATATATCATCTCTCATTTGTCCCAGAATAACATCTTAAGCTTTAGAACATGCTATTGCTGAGCCAGGAACCTAGCTTAAAATAAATTACTAGATTCGTTTCTGAGTTCTTAGTAATCCTGTGCACAGAATGGATTTCATTATACACTTGGTCATCGACTTACAACCGACTTCCGTTCTGAATGACAGGTCATAAGTCGGCCATATAATTTATTAACAGTATTTTTTTACCTTTCTAATCTTTTTACCATCTTTATAATTTATTTTTAAAAACTTTTACATTTTAATCATCTTTTATTTTTCATTTTTTTTTTGTGGTCGTAAGTCGACGACCAAGTGTAAGCTTAAATAATCACTCATGGAGCTGAGTCCTTCTTGAGAAGCCACAAATTATGTAGCTACTCAAGAACTTCCCAGCATTTTATGGAACCTGAAGGTTCATTGCCGTGTTCACAAGAGCCCTCCACTGGTCCCTATCCTGAACCAGATCAATCTAATCCATACCATCCCATCCTATCTCTCTAAGATCCATTTTAATATTGTTCACCCACCTACGCCTCGATCTTCCCAGTGGTCTCTTTCCATCTGGCTTCCCCACCAATATCCTATATGCATTCCTCTTATCCCCAATTCGTGCTACATGTCCTGGCCACCTCATCCTCCTCGACTTGATCATTCAAATTATAAGCTTAAATAATAAAGTCATTAATTACCACAGACCTCACTAAAGAAAATTATTATACCATTATTGTTTTATTATGGAATCACAGGCCTTTAGAAGCAGTAGGCGCACATATATGAAAAGAAGTATTATGGATTGGTGCTTGTTTTATTTAATATTTTTTTCTCTTGTAAGGTTGTACACATATAGCAGGGAATGGCTGGCGATTATTTATGATGGATGGAGAATCACTAGTATGCGGAAGAAAGATGCGGTTTATTTTAAGATATTATCTCAGGATTGGCCGAAAATACCGAGCATCTCACGTGAAATCTCAAGACAAATATTCTCAGTTCCGAGATTGTAACCCGGGATATGCCAAATTTGAAATAATTGTGATAAACTTGGATTTGAGGTTCTAACAGCGGTGACTATGAACAGTACTACACGGTTTCACATCCCAGAAAAATTTACATTTAATTTTTAAGAAAGTTATCATGATATATTTAAATGTCACATTAAGGGCGAGGGCAACCGCAACGCAACCGCAATTTCCGACAATTGTTATCGGCCTGACTTCAACATAATGTGGCGTATTTGCTCTATGCAGGAACTGTTGAGCCACAGAGGCCTCGGAGCACGCGCGCAACGTGAGAGTTGCAGACTGTATCGGCGCGTTGCTAGGTGACAATTCTGTGAACGCTTGGACAGCGCAACAGGAAGTGTGAGTGACGTCACATATCCCCACTCATCTCGTTGCTGCGCGACGCTTGGTAAACACCCCTCACCGCTAGGCTGTGACGTCACGCAACAGTAGGGCGTCCATTGCTAGGCAATGCGTGGGTAGACACACCTGACAGCAATACCTGATATCTGTTGCCTAGCAACGCGCCGATACAATCCGCAACTCTCACGTTGCGTGCGTGCCCCGAAGCCACTGTGTCCCAACAGTTCCTGCATAGAGCAAATACGCCACAATATGTTACTGAATGGAGCAGCGCAAATTCAGGAAACGGCAATGTAGTTTCCTCAATTTGCGCTGCACCATTCAGTAACATGTGATAACGTCCATTTATTTAAATTAAACAACTTTGTGTCATGTCAACAGCAGAATGTGAGCCGGGATAGCGTAGTCGGTATAGGGACTGACAACGGGCAGGACGACCGAGGGATCGGAGTTCGACTCCCGGTAAGGTCAAGAACTTTCTCCTCTTCACGTTGTCCAGACCGACTCTGGGGTCCACCCAGCCTCCTATCCAATGGGAACCGGGCGTTCTTTCAGCGGGGTTTAAGTGGCAGGAGAGTGAAGCCTACCACTCACCTTCAACTAGTGCTGAGGTCAAGAAAATGTGGATCTATACATCCACTTCCCATACGCCTTTATGGCGTAGTGTATAATTAGTTAAGCATGGGGACAGCTTAACCTTTACCAGCAGCAGAATATATTTGCAACATTTCATGCTCAGAGTTAAAATTCGTGCGGAATTCTTGGATGTGACGCTCTATTTCTAATTACGGTATTCAGGGACCGTCTAAACATTAACTTTATAATCACTAAGAATAAAATGAGATAAAATTAAATAAATACGTGTGTCAGTATTAATTTTATTTCGGTTACACTACGCCACAACACGGTTTGATCTTAATACAAATAGAACATCATGTGGATTCAAAATAAACAAAATTCAGAATCACTGAAATAACAAGCTAATATTAGAGAGAATTTCTATAAAACTGATCCAGTTTCACATGAAGATATGTGGTATAATTTAGTATTAAATCTTTAAAAATCCTTAAAATGAGACTGAAGTTAAGTGTGCTTTTGTGCATAACACTGATGTACTGCATGTTGACTAATGGACGTGTATCTCATATGGAATTCCTTGTCGAACGGTGGCATCGATGTGGTCGAGTGACGGAGCATGTTGTGAATGGCATGTTACCTGTAATGGTCCTCCTGACTTCAGTCATCTACTGCAGAGGCATGCCTGTAATATCAAATGTTTTCTTGATATTGTCCCTGATACTGATAAGACACGATGTTTGGATTGGAAATTGAATTTGCTCAACTCTTAGAATTCGTAACTACAAGTAATAATAGCATTCCAATAATTCACGGAGTCCACTTCTCATTACAGCACACATTGTCTTCTATGTCTTCACTAGCCGCTACCTGGTAACGGCTCTCAAAGATAGCTACTCCACAGTTTCCGCGTTAACTCCCATACTGCCTGGCTACTGTCTCACAACTCGTCCTAAACTGGCCACTCACTGGCTGTGACTCTTTAAAGCACGCTCACCACGGATTCGTCGAGCAAGCTGCATGTCCTTAGGCATGATGGTAACGCGCTTGGCATGAAGAGCGCACAAGTTAGTGTCTGCAAAAATAGCCACCAAGTAGTCCTCACTGGCTGTCTGAAGAGCAGCTATGGCAGCACTCTGGAAGCGGATGTCTGACCTGAAGTCTAGTGCAATCTCACGAACGAGACGCTGGAATGGCATCTTATGGATCAGCAAATCTGTAGATCTCTGGTAGCGTCTAATTTCTCGAAGAGCCACAGTACCTGGCTTGTAACGATGGGGTTTCATCACTCCTCCTTTGGAAGGCTCACTAAATTGAGCTATTTTCATCCCAAAGTTTGATTGAGGCCTCTTTCCACCTTTGTGATAAAACGCCGCTTTCTTTGTACGTGCCATCTCTCAAGCTAATTTTCTAATGTACGAGTATATACCCAAAACGTCACTAAAACTGCCGCTAATATATTCACGTGACTACACCAGAACCAAAGTCAAATTCACCAGAACCTCCCGCAGTTCCTCGTTATATAGCTTTGAAGCGGACAAGAAAGAGAACATTAGTTATAACAGATTCCCCATTGTTGAGTGTTGATTCGTTGCTGTGGAAATATGTTTACCTTGCCGTACCCTAGCAACGGCCACACTATTCAGTCTTTCAGCCAACATGAGACAATATTATATTGTGGCGTATGTCGTTTGTAACTGTGTAAATTGTAATTATTGTTTGTTTATATATAGGTATTTCTGCAGTGTATGGAGGTATGTAAGTACACTAGCAGCCTCGTGAAGAAATCTCGTGTGTTGTAGGTATAGGTGATTTTGTGCTACTTAGATATTGCTGGCTACAGCAGGTTGCTGTAATTATGAGAATACTGATTGTTTAAACAGTGTGGAATATTTCTAGTGTTTCGTTAATTGTGCCCTATGTGTGATCTGTACCAAGGTCACGTTGGGCGTACTTCGAATTTTGTTTGTTTGCTTTCATGGTGTGTGCGTGTTCTCCATAACATACACAGTAAATTACGGCCCTCTCATTTAGTATGTTGCGTTCTGTTTTAACTAGCCCCATAAATAAGGTTAGAAGGAGAGACAAATCCAAGGAAGCATTTAGCTTTAAAATGTCTTGATCGCTTCCTTACCCAATTCGTCAGGTTAATTGGAAGTTTAAATCAGGAATGTTGCCAAGTAAACTGTTTTAGGGAGGTTTCCCGTCAAAGTCCTTATAAGAAAATGACACTGTTTATCCCAGTTCCTCCCCCAGTTCAAGCGTAGTAGTTTTGTGCTACGGACTTCAATCACACATGTTGCACCAAGCAGGAGAATTCCGTGAATTTAAGCTTACTCGGGTAACTTTGTGTATAAACTGTCGGTTGTTAGGTAACGGCTCAATGAACACACGTTTGCGGCAACGGACATGCACGCAAGGATAAAAGACTCTCTAACTCAATTATTCTCAGCTCCACTCCACCAGCCTCTCTCTCTTCACCCAACTCATAACAGTTTCATTTCTAATCTTTTAATCCTGAACAATATTGCCACTTACACCTCAGTAACGCATTTTAGACAAGAAGTTCTGGGAAGAAATAATCGTCTGGAAGCAATACGGGCCGCATAGAAAACGACGCCTCCAACAATTTTTTGTTGCTGCGAGAACGTGTTTACCTAGTTATTGCCTAGCAACGGTACAGGAATGCACAGACAGACCCGCTGACTCTCCTTTCGTAAGATATGGAACGCGAAGAAAATTATGCGTTCAGCAATTCTGCTATTTTTGTGTATTCGTTACTGCGGGAACGTATTTACCGAGCCGCTGCCTAGCAACGATAGAAGGCATACACTGTAGCCGATGATTACTTCCCGACGCCATGTGTTTAGATATTACTGTATTAAAGTAATTAATTACGTAATATTGAACTATATTTGTAACTGAGATATAATTTCGTTCTTGTATTTAAGAGCGACATATGCTCAGTATTTATGTAACAGTTCTAAGAATTCTAGCAGTGCAAGCTAAGATAAGAAGACTATTGTAATTTTAAGCAACAATACGATAGCAGCTATGGAACGTTGATGGCTTAACCCCAGGCCAAGTGCATCGAAGCTTCTAGAACAGTTTTAGTTACAGATTTCTGGTGAAGTATTCAAACTTAATACATGAATTCTATTGGCCGTGACAATTAGATATGTGGACCCAGGAATTTAATAAGCCAATCAGAATTAAAAGTATGGGGAAATCTACGTCATTTGAAGTTAACAGTAGTTAACTTCAAGTGGCGTCCTCCAGAGTCAGTCTCTAGCTAACCTCGGTGCGAAGAAAACGTGAAAGTCGACGCTTCAGGTATGTAGTGTACATAACGTAACAATAGTGATACCAGCTTTCTGTTATCAGACTAAAAGGACTGATGATAAATTCAAGTGTAGTTATACGGTGCTAATCAATTAAAGTTAATTGTTCCGTTGTCAATGTGTGTGTGATCCAGTGTTTTTTCTTTCTTCGCCCGTCTCGCCCAAGCAAGGCGTGTTATGCCCTGAGATACAAACCTATGCTTGCCCCTTGAGCACCGGCATCCTACCACCGTCTCCACACCTCTCTAGATCCATTTATTCGTAATACACCATTACGTGGCACCCAACTTATCTCCTTAGTCCCCTTGACACTACACCTATTACGAATAAGTCAAGGCAGACGGAGCGAGTGATAACCAATAAGTGGTCCGAGGAGGGGGGTTGACGGAGCAGTGACGTCAGAGCAATATAGACGGCTTCAACACGTGGAAACCAGAGGGGGAGGGATTTATGAAGTACGCCGTTGAGATGGGCTCTGGTACCATGATAATATTGTCGCGTGTTACCTGGTAACCTACTTCTGTCTCCTAGGTAACGCGCGAATAAATTCCCGTAGGTTTCGTATTCAGCGATTATTTATTGTGCTTTGCTTCTACAATCACACACTTTTACACTTATTATCACTTGCAGTATGAGAATTACTCCTTCCACTATATCTCGGCGACTGGCACACTGTCTTCGACACTGACTCTCTTAAGACTCCAACTTATACTGAATACTTAATCATCCTGAATAGTGTTCGCTGCTCCTTATATAGGCTCGGCACGGACAACATATATAACACATTGCAGCTCGGCAACAGATATCAGGTATGTCTACATACGCACTGCTTAGCAATAGACGCCCTACTGTTGCGTGACGTCACAGCCTAGCGGGGAGGGGTGTTTACCGAGCGTTGTTACGCAATGAACACTCGTTGCTACGGATATTCCCACGCAACGGTCTCAACAATTTCCAGTGTTTCGTTGCTCAGCGATAGACGACATATAACACGCCACAATACGTACCAAGTTTATTAAAGATTGGTTCAGCCATTCTAAAGTTGATGGGGGAATACACATACACACAGACAGCATGGGGATCGCATAAGCCTACTTTCATTTTTTTTTTCCTAAAGAAGGAAAGTAGGATATACAACTCTTTTATTGACCGTCACAACACAAACAGAAAAAATCAAGGTTAGCGCCCAGCTGTGGTTTCTCTACATGTATCAGCCACTAACGGCCATTATCAGGCAAACACATATTAACAAACAAATACCATTGAACTGCTGTACATTAGATTGGATACAATGTTATTAATCATTTAAAATACTTTGCGTAAAAATACAATACGTCAGATTATATAAAAACAAAAAGTTATTGTATTAAACAAGATAAAACTTAATTGATGTTATACAATATCGAATCAGTCGCTGATTTTTTTACTTTTCATATGTTTCCATGGACAAATTGGAAGCTCGATATTTCTTTTCTATTTGAATGTATAGGAGGTCCATGATGTTGCAAATTAATTATTTGTATAGTCGGTGCCTCATCTTACGAAGAACTGTCCGTACTGTATGGAATGTAAACGTCTACAGGGATATTAAGCATGTGAAATTTGATATGGTGATATATAATGAACGCCTATTTATTTAAATTAAATAACTTTGTATAACAGACTTGTGTCACAGCAGATTATATCTGAAACATTTCACGCATAGAGTTAAAATTCCTGCAGAATTCTTGGATGTGACGCTCTATTTCTAATTACGGTATTCAGGGACCGTCTAAACATTAACTTTATAATCACTAAGAATAAAATGAGATAAAATTAAACAAATACGTGTGTCAGTATTAATTTTATTTCGGTTACACTACGCCACAACACGGTTTGATCTTAATACAAATAGAACATCATGTGGATTCAAAATAAACAAAATTCAGAATCACTGAAATAACAAGCTAATATTAGAGAGAATTTCTATAAAACTGATCCAGTTTCACATGAAGATATGTGGTATAATTTAGTATTAAATCTTTAAAAATCCTTAAAATGAGACTGAAGTTAAGCGTGCTTTTGTGCATAACACTGATGTACTGCATGTTGACTAATGGACGTGTATCTCATATGGAATTCCTTGTCGAACGGTGGCATCGATGTGGTCGAGTGACGGAGCATGTTGTGAATGGCATGTTACCTGTAATGGTCCTCCTGACTTCAGTCATCTACTGCAGAGGCATGCCTGTAATATCAAATGTTTTCTTGATATTGTCCCTGATACTGATAAGACAGGATGTTTGGATTGGAAATTGAATTTGCTCAACTCTTAGAATTCGTAACTACAAGTAATAATAGCTTTCCAATAATTCACGGAGTCCACTTCTCATTACAGCACACATTGTCTTCTATGTCTTCACTAGCCGCTATCTGGTAACGGCTCTCAACGATAGCTACTCCACAGTTTCCGCGTTAACTCCCATACTGCCTGGCTACTGTCTCACAACTCGTCCTAAACTGGCCACTCACTGGCTGTGACTCTTTAAAGCACGCTCACCACGGATTCGTCGAGCAAGCTGCATGTCCTTAGGCATGATGGTAACGCGCTTGGCATGAAGAGCGCACAAGTTAGTGTCTGCAAAAATAGCCACCAAGTAGTCCTCACTGGCTGTCTGAAGAGCAGCTATGGCAGCACTCTGGAAGCGGATGTCTGACCTGAAGTCTAGTGCAATCTCACGAACGAGACGCTGGAATGGCATCTTATGGATCAGCAAATCTGTAGATCTCTGGTAGCGTCTAATTTCTCGAAGAGCCACAGTACCTGGCTTGTAACGATGGGGTTTCATCACTCCTCCTTTGGAAGGCTCACTAAATTGAGCTATTTTCATCCCAAAGTTTGATTGAGGCCTCTTTCCACCTTTGTGATAAAACGCCGCTTTCTTTGTACGTGCCATCTCTCAAGCTAATTTTCTAATGTACGAGTATATACCCAAAACGTCACTAAAACTGCCGCTAATATATTCACGTGACTACACCAGAACCAAAGTCAAATTCACCAGAACCTCCCGCAGTTCCTCGTTATATAGCTTTGAAGCGGACAAGAAAGAGAACATTAGTTACAACAGATTCCCCATTGTTGAGTGTTGATTCGTTGCTGTGGAAATATGTTTACCTTGCCGTACCCTAGCAACGGCCACACTATTCAGTCTTTCAGCCAACATGAGACAATATTATATTGTGGCGTATGTCGTTTGTAACTGTGTAAATTGTAATTATTGTTTGTTTATATATAGGTATTTCTGCAGTGTATGGAGGTATGTAAGTACACTAGCAGC